TTGCCCATCTATCCATCCATCCATCCATCCATCCATCCATCCATCCATCCATCCATCCTTCCATCCATCCATCCATCCTTCTATTTGCTCATCCATCCATCCATCCATCCATCCATCCATCCATCCATCCATTCTTCTGTCCATCCATCCATCCATCTATCCATCCATCTATCCATCCATCCATCCATCCATCCTTCCTTCCTTCCTTCCCAACCCCAGCACTACCTCACTAGCTCCCTTCTCCCTCCTCTGTCATACTCAGTTTCACCATCACAGACAAGAAGCAGAAATGAGAAAATCCAAGAGTCCCAAGGGTCCCAGCCAAGGTCCAAAGGGATGGCTGAGACCACAAGCGGTCTCAAAGAGCTGGGCACCCCCGGGGAGTTTTCAGGGATGGGCTTCTCTTGGAATCTGGGTCCAGGGATCCAGCACATCTTCCTTAGGGAAGTTCTCATGTACAGTCTTTAGAAATCCACCCACTGCGTAAACAGACTGGGAGAGGCTGGATGGAGGGAGGGAGCCCTGAAGGTGACACAGCCCAGGCCACCAGCTGTGGGTGCAGTCCAGGGCCAGAGGCCCCGTTTCTGCATCTGGGAGGTGGCAACAGCTCAGATCTGTCACCACCTGCCATTGCCCCATAACAGGCTGAGTCCTTTGCCTGCCACAGGGGGGCTGTTCATTTGAACATGCACCCCAGAGAACACAACGTAAGATCCCAAATGCCACTTTCAGTCTCCCTGAGTGCAGTGAGATGACACAGGGCTACTTCTCCAAACTGCCCATATTCACTTGCGGAGATAGGTCTGCCTCAAAGTCATCCTCACTCCTCCACGATGCCAACCCCTAAATGCCCACAGCTCTGCCGGGCAGGGTGGGGAGGAGAAGAAGGGTATGGGTGTTTGCTCAATCTGCAGTCACAGTCCTGGCCCTGGGAGCTCACAGGCAGCAGAGGCAGCATCTGTCCTGCTCAGCTGTGTCCCTCACCCACCCAGCTTTAAACATCTGTGGGCTGACAAATGCCCATCAATCAAAGAGTGGATAAAGAAATTGTGGTATATATACACCATGGAATACTACTCAGCCATAAAAAGGAATGAAATAATGGCATTTGCAGCAACCTGGATGGAATTGGAGACCATTATTCTAAGTGAGGTAACTCAGGAATGGAAAACCAAATACTGTTATTTCTCACTTATAAGTGGGAGCTAAGCTATGAGGATGCAAAGGCATAAGAATGACACTATGGACTTTGGGGACTCAGGGGAAAGGGTGGCGGGGGTGAGGGATAAAAGACTACCAATTGGATTCGGTGTCTATTGCTTGGGTAATGGGTACATCAAAATCTCACAAATCACCACTAAAGAACTTACTCATATAACCAAATACCACCTGTTCTCCCAAAACCTATGGAAATAAAACATTAAAAAATAAATTTAAAAAAAATGTGTGGGCTGAACGCAGCTGACGGACAATCCCCTCTGCCACCAGGCCAGTGGGCAGGCTCCGCTGTTCTGGGCCATGCAGGAGACAAGTCCCCACCCGCATGGAGGCGCGCCCTACACTGATGCAAAAGCGCCACCTTCTGCGTCCCACACGGGCGCCCTCCTCACTCAAGTCTTTCATTTGAGTTTCTAATTTGGGGAGTGTGGACGCTCATGATGCCTTTTTAAAAATAAAAATAGAACAGTCACAAGTACTTTTTAAAAGACCAAATGGAATTTTAACTTTTGGCCTCAGCTTCGCCTCAAAGTCACTGACCTGGCCTCTCCCAGCCCCTCCGGTGGCCCCTGCCTCTTTGTGGCTCCTGAGGCATTTGGTTACATGCGTAAGTTCTTTAGTGGTGATTTCTGAGATTTTGGTGCACCCATCATCCCAATAGGCCAAGCCTAGCTTGCTCCTGCCTCAGAACTTTGCACGTGCCATTCTCTTGGACTGAGCACACCTCAGACCTAGCACTGTAAAGTTCGTACCCTAAGTGTGTGTGGGTTTCTGTTAACCATCACCTCCCTGTCCACCTGCCTAAAGCTCACTTCTCACCCAGCTTCTGGCCTTAAGGGCACTTCTCCATCCACCTGCTGCTGCCGCACATATTTCAGCTGGTGGCTGTGTCTCTTCCGCTAGGATGCCAGTTCATGAGGGCAGGGACCGTCAGCATCTTGTTCACTGCTGTGTCCTCTAAGGCCCCAAACAGAGCGCGACACAGAGTAGGTGCTCAGTAAGTTCTGGGGGGACCAAGGCCTGATTCCCAGCTCTTCGACTGGCTTGGGAGTGATTGCGAATGTTCCCAACTTTGCTCCAACAGTGAGCACGAAAAGCCCCTGGTGAGTGGGGACCGGGTTCATTCATATCCAGCCTGGCCCCCAAAGCCTTTGATTTCTTGGGATTGATCTTGCAGCCAGCCGCTTCCCAGATACCCTGCCTCAGTGGGTGGGGAGCGCCCAGGAGGCAAGTCCAGCTTATTCAAACAAAGTGGGGGGCCTCTTTAATGAAGTGAAGCGTAGGCAGATTTAACATGCATGTCCATCTAACCTCCTAAAGTAGGTGACAAGGTGGTGAGGACCTCAGTGGCTTAGATTTGGGGGCAGGACTGCAGTCTACCCCAGCAGCTGAGGCATATGCCACCAACTTTGATCAGAAAGGTGGTGTCGGTCACTGGATACTGGAACAAAGACACCCACCCTGCCAAACGCAGTCTGAACCTGAGGCTCACGTGGAAACCCAGCACCGCTCACCCCCGCCTCTTCCTCGGGTGTTGGAAAGCATCAGCTGCGTGAGGCACATCAAAGGTTCTGCCTCTTTGTCCTGAGACAATATGAGGTGCCGATATTTGCACCTAAAGAGCACTCTCCCCGAGTCGTCAGCTAGTACTCAGCAAAGTTCAGCAGGAGTTAACGGGGAGGTGGGGTGCCCTGCGGGATGGGCGAGGGGTGGCTGGGCATGGCCACAGCGGCAAGCCCCAAAGTTGAGAAGAGGGGGCGCCAGGCAATCCTTTCTCCCTTTTATTCAAAGCAGCCCTTCAAATCCGGTAGGTACACAGGCATTTTGTTTTTCAAAAAAAAAAAAAAAAAAAATCACAGGTAGTTAATTAGTCGCACAGTGAAAAGGGGAATAATATGAGGTTGAAGGGCAGACTCTGCAGCCAGGCCCAGCACAGCCGCTTCCTGGCTGGGCAACTTTGGGCAGGTTGCTAACCTCCTCTGTGCCTTGGCTTCCACCTCTGGAAAACGGGGCTAATTGGAGTGTAGGCTTCATGGGAATATAGTGAAAATTAAATGAATTGATGTAAATAAAGAGCTTAGGACAGTTGTCCTGGCACACGGTGTGAGCTATCTAAATGCCAAGTATCATTATCCATGAGGAAACAGCTCCAACAGCCCTGGGCTTTGCTTTTAAGCCAAATTAAAAGATCAGGGCAACACAGTTCCATACCTGGCATCCAGCGAGCAGGAAGGGGAAAAAATAAAGTCAAGTAGAACAGCCAAGACAAGTAAGCCAGCCACGCTATTCCTGCGGCAGCCACGGGCTGGCCCGGATGGCAGAGACCGCTTCCAGAAAACCCTCTGTAAGGAGGCTTCTGGGTCACGGAAGGAACCAAGGAGAAGGCGCTTTCCCCGTCCGTTTTCTCCAAGCCCCACTGTGCAAGGCGCCACGGGGATTCAGTCCCAACCCGTGCAGCCCAAATGTGTGACAGTGCCAAATCCCAGACGCTCTGGCAGGAAAGCTGGCCTTTCGACAGCAAGATCAGGTTCACTGCAAACAGCCCTGGTCACCTCTGTCAACTCCTGGAAGTCCTCACTGCCCCTTCCACCCGCCAGGCTCCCATAAAGAGACCAAAGTTCAAATTCGCTGCATGATTTGGTCTAAGATAGTGACTCCTCGACTTGGCTGAACAGTACAATCACCCAGGGAGACAGACTCTCCTGATGCCGAGCTGCACCTCTATCAGTTCAGTGAGACTATCTGGGCGGTGAGTGTGGGTAGGTTCTAAAGATTCTCCAAGTGATTCCAATTGGCGGCCAAGTTTGGGACCCACCAGGGGAAGAAACAAGCAAGGTACGAATGAAGGTCATGTCCTGAGGCTTGAGGCGGGGAGCCACTCCTTTCTGCTGTGGGGAGGAGGATTTTCAGCTGGGGGGAGGCCTTTTTTGCCCTGTGAGTGCCAGGCAAGTATCCCTGGGGCCCCAGGAAAGGGGAGTGGAGCCAGCACACACGCCCCAGCAGAAAAGCTGTTAAGGTGGGCAGGGCGCAGCCAGAGAGCGGGCAGGGATGGGCCATCACTCATTTCAACTTGTCATTTCCTCAAGCTGCAAAGGCGCCCGCTGGGCCCACATGCTTCCCCGCCTGCCAGGGGGGCGCCCAGTCTCAGGCCAGGCGCCTAGCTGGGTCCCCACCGGAGTCCACCCCCAGGCTGGGCTTAGTCTGGCAGGAGACAAACTCCTGAGTTTCCTGACCCGGGGTTCCAGCCTCCCCCTCCCGCCTAAGCTCCACGTCAACATGCCTTAACATCCTGGGAAGGAAGGGATCCTGTCTGGATTTGGTTATTTAAAAAAAGAAAGAAAGAAAAGGCTTTCACGTTGGCAGCGCCCGGACAGTAAACAGGGCACCCGGAGCAGCAGAGGGGCCGGGTCCAGATGTCTGCAACATGCCGGGCCTCTGGGCGCAAGCCCACCTAGCCAGCAGCCAACTTCTTTGGGAATTTCGGACCGTCCTTTACCCCGCCCCATGAGCCCCCCATTATTACTGACAATAGGAAGAATCACTCTGGAGGGAGGCCTACTGCCAGGGAGCGGTCTCCAGGTTCAGGGGTCAGCCTGGACCTCCTCCCGCTACACACCCTGGTCCCCACCTGAGAAGCGTGGCTGTCACTGGCCACCTTCGTGGCTGCGGGGCAGGGAGAGGAGGAGGTCCGTCCTGCTTCTACAGTAGCGCGCGTCTCGAGGGGCAACCCTCACCCACCCGCCCGCGCGGTCCCCCATTTGGGAGCGAGAGTGCCTCCTTACCGCTCTTGCCTCGCTGGGTCCTGGGGGCTCCGAGGAGGCGCCGGCGCCCCCCGCGCGCGCGTCGAGGATACCGGGCGCCAGGGAGTAGAAGGGTGGGCTGGGGCTGGGGCTAGGGGGCAGCCCGGAGTCGGGGCTGTCCAGCAAGCCCTCCCGGCCCTGCTCCTTCAGGCTGTCCTCCATGCCCTGCAGATGCAGGTGGCCCACCATGTCTGGGGGGCGCGGGGCGCGGGCCCCCCGCTCCTCCGGGGGCTTCTCCACCGCGCTCCGGGGCACGGGGCAGGCGGCGGCGGGGCGAGGGCTGCGCGCCCGAGGACCTGCGGGCACCGCGAGAGGCGGCGATCAGGCCCGGCGACCCCTGCGCCCCTGATCCCCGCGGGCCTGCAGCCTGCTCGCCAGCGGCGCTCCTGCCAATCGCCGCCCTCGGCCCTCCGCGCCCCGCCCGCCGGGCCGGCCTCGCCCCGCGTGGCTGCGCTCCCGCAGGCCGGCCCAGCCCGAGGCGCACGTCGCCGCCCGCCCTCCCGCACCTCCCCGGCCCGCGCCTCTTTTTCTAGGCGCCTCCTCCTCCCCCTTCCTCTCCCCGCCGGTGCGCGTGGGCAACCGCCCCGGCCGGCGCCTCTGCCGAGGCCCTCCAAGCTCTCAGGGGGACTGCGCGCCCAGCCAGCAGCCGGAGTCCCACGAGGCGCGTGTGTCCCCCACTCCCGAAACAAGCACCACACTCGCGCACCGAGGGTGCCTTGTGGGGTCCCCAAGTTATCCCAAGAAATACGAGTAATAATCATCATCCTATTTCGTGGTGCTCTTGGAGGTTTTCTCAGTCCCATTTGAAGTCCCAATAAAAGCAGCTTGAGAAACTTTATTTTAGAGAAGTTTTCTTTTTCTCTGTAACTTACAATCGATGGGGAGGAGTGCCACCACCGCCCTAGTACTGGCGTCTCCGTTACCCGCACAACCAGGGCCAGCTCTTTGGGCCTTGAGGGTGGAAAGCATTGGGTGGAACTTGTGGGTGGGGGGCGGCGGCGGCGGCGATGAGAAGCACTTCCGGGAATCCCCAGGCATCTGGCTGTTCCTGCATTTTTCTGGGAAGGTCCTTGCTCATGAACAAGGGTCCTGCTCGTCTTTCCCTTCTTTTCCTTCCTCCCAAGAGAGAAGAACACGTGTTTCCTTTCCTTACTGTTTTCTTATCAGATGCCTGGCAAGGCGTCTCCGCATTTCCAGCGCCCAGCCACACAGACGCCCTCCACCTCACTCCTGAGGATCCATCCTTCCATTCTGCAAGCGGGGCAGCTGGGGGTGTCCACGGACTGCTTTGAAAAGCAGGAATGTGGGAGAGGCTAATAGGGCGAAGAGAGCAGAGGAAGACTCCAGGAAGGGTGAAGGTGTGCACGTGGGCACACTCATTTCCATTCTGCTTAGAGCAGAAAGCCCAAGCGGGAAGCCGGGTGTCAGAATCCGCTCTTTGGACACCCTCAAACTGAGGGCAGCACTTTGAAGATGTTCTCAGGCTCCCATTCTGCACCCAGCCTTGGCCGGACCTCAAAACGGGCACGCGTAAGACAGCAGGCCCCTGGCCTGTGGAGGGCCCAGTCTGGTGAGGGAGGCAGGCAACGTATCGGGAAGCTAAGGCTGTGAGTCTAAGGGAAGGAACTTAACGAGGTGCTGCAACCAAGAATAGCCAAAGGGACAACTTAAGGCTTGGGGTGTTCAGGGAAGCCTTCTTGGAGGAGGCGATTTTTAAAGATAAGATCTGAATAGCCAAGCAGTGAGAATTAGCCCACCATGTGGAGGGAACAGCAGGGCGCAGGCCCTGCAGCAGCGGGAGTAAGGTGTATGCCAGACACTGACAGAGGGTGGGGCCGCTTCCTGAGAGTCCACAGGGTGACAGGCATGCACCTGTCACCAGGTGAATTTACAGCCCATTTCCATATCTCCCAGGAAAGAACGCTGGAAGTCTGCTGCCCAAACAGAACTAACCAGAGGTTTGAATATCTGGAACATTCTGGAAAAAAACAAAATAGGACAACAAAATAGGATTCCATTTGCTTCAATTCTTAGGCAAGACAGGACTTCTTCAGCCCTTGGCTGAAGGCACAGAATGAGTGACTGAACTGCTGTCACTGACTAGGATGAAAGTGGTGGGGGGAGGGGCGTTCTTTCTGGAACACAGACACATGGAAACTCACATTTCCCAAATGCCCACCCAGCCAGCCCCAGTAGTCTTCTGCTTCCCTGGAGAAAGTCTTTGGCAAGAACGAATTTCTTCTTATCTCAGGGACTAATGACCCCTTGGCCACAATAGCTACCAAGGGCAGGGCAGAATGCGGGCAAGGTAGAGTTTCAAAATTGCAGGGTTCCTCTGTCTTTATTTAAAATGTTGATATTTTGAGGCCTGGTGTGGCAGCTCACGCCTGTAATCCCAGCACTTTGGGAAGCTGAGGCGGGTGGATCACCTAACGTCAGGAGTTTAAGACCAGCCTGGCCAACATGGTGAAACTCTGTCTCTACTAAAAATAACAAAAAATTAGCCAGGCATGGTGGCAGGCGCCTGTAATCCCAGCTACTCAGGAGGCTAAGGCAGGAGAATTGCTCGAACTCAGGAGGTGGAGGTTGCAGTGAGCCGAGGTCATGCCATTGCACTCCAGCCTGTGCAACAGAGCAAGACTCTGTCTCAAAATAAAATAAAATGTTGATGTTTTGTTCCTCTTGAACTGTTTGCATCCATTTTGACTTTTAAAACGTTGCAGCAAAATATCATTTGTGGTGATTTCTGTGTTTGGGGGATGTCCTGAAATTCTCTTGCCCCACTCTACTAATCCTGTCCCCCTTGTGTCATTCATCTTCATCTAGAAGCCCACTTATCAAGAGTGCCTTCATGACTATGCCCATCTGGGTTCTGGAAGTTTCCCTGAAACAGGCTGCCCTATGTGGTAAATGGTTGGAGATGTGTGCACGCCAAACGGCAGGCAGAACATGAGTGCATTACAAATGTCAGACCCCCAGAGAGCAGCCCACACTGATGGCCCCAGTGACCGTGACCTCTGACCTATTCGGATCCTGCTGCGGGCTGGGGACCGCCCCTCAGTTGAAAGCCAGTACTGTGGAAGCTTCTATTTCTCACAGCACCAGATGGTCTGCAAATGTCAAAGACGGGAGGAAAGGCCGAAATTTCCATAAATTCATTGGAGCCAGGGGCTAGGCAGTGGGCAGGGCAGGAGGCTCTTGCGGCCAGTCTCAGGAGGAAAAGGGGCTTGAGCCCCTGAAATGTGAGGTTTGAGGAGCAGAAAAGGGGGTCTTTCAAGATTGGAGTACCTGCTCTAGGCCCAGTGCTGGAGGAAAGGGCAGAGGGAAGGAGGTGCCAGGTCTATGGAGGCCCTTATGCCGTGCCAGGGGATTGGGGCTTTATCTGCCAGGGATGGGAGAATCTGCAGAGGTTTTGAAGCAGGTGAAGAATGATCTGATCCAAATCGCTTCCAAAGTTCCTCACATGTACACATATATACACATAAACAAAGCTGGATTAAAGAGTGGAGAGTTTGGAGGCAGAGCGAAATTGGGCAGAGAAAGTGGATATTTAATAGAAAAGAGGTATTGGGGTATCTGACAAGGGGTTGTAAAGAGTGGGTCCCGTGTTGGAGAGAAGGGGAGAAGGGAAGACCCCTTCACCGCACACCCCTGGGAAGGAAGACCTTCCTCCACAAGCTTCTGAAGTCACTGGCTTTTAAAAGCACATGTTGAAGAGGAAAGAAAAGTGACCTGGGGTAACCCCAAGCCCCAGCCCAGGGCCCCCCAAGCACTCCCATATCAGGGGGATTTTCCCAGGCTGCTTTGTGTAGGAGAAGCTCAACTTTGCAAGGAAGGCCAGAGGGAAGGGCATCGAGAAAAAAAGGTTTTTTCATGGAGCGCCATTAGCCACTTGTTGCAAGCAGCATTGAAGGAAGGCTCCTAGAAGCAGGGCTGCGCATTCCTGCAGAGCTTACAGAGCTCTGCACACGCACCATCCTGCACTTGAACCCTGGCTGCATATTATTTCCATTTTAAAATAAAGCAGGCCAGGAATGGGGGCTCGCGCCTGTAATCCCAGCACTTTGGGAGGCCAAGGTGCGTGGATCAGCTGAGGTCAGGAGTTTGAGACCAGCCTGGCCAACATGGTGAAACTCTGTCTCTACCAAAAGTACAAAAATTAGCCAGGTGCGGTGGTACACACCTGTAATCCCAGCTACACAGGAGGCTGAGGCAGGAGAATCCCTTGAACCTGGGAGGCGGAGGCTGCAGTGAGCCAAGATCATGCCACTGCACTCCAGCCTGGGCAATAGAGTGAGACTCCAACTCAAAAAAATAAATTAATAAAATAAAAGATAAATAATAAATAAATAAAGCAGATGGAGTCATGGAGACTCAGAGAGGTTAAGTGACTGCCTGAGGTCACACAGCCTACCCTAAGTAGAAAGCCACACTGGAGGCTGCTAGGGTGGACGTGGCAGAGGCTGCCAGTGGGTCCCAGTGGATTGTGACATGGCGGCAGGAGGACGGAGGTTGTCATGCCTGACAACAAGGCCTTTCTGTAACCTGCAGAGAGAGCCTGAAACAAGGCCATCTGAGAGCCCTGGAGGCCGCTCGCCTTCCAAGGAGACGCCCAGACAAGGAAGGGGTCTTCTTGTCGTGTGCACACTCGGTTGTCTGGGTTTGAATCCTGGCCCTACCACGTCCCGGCTGTGTGATCTGGGCAATTGGCCTGCCCTTCCTATGCCTCAGTGTCCCCATCTATAAAGCAGGATGATAATAAAGCTAGTGAATGAAGATTAAATGTAAGCATATTAAGGGTATGCTGCCAGGTGCACCAGGCACAAGCTGAGCCCTCGGCATGGTGCCAGGGAAATTTCCTCAGGCTCAGCTGGGCCCTGCTCTAATCACCACACTTCATGCCTTGCTGTGTGAAATCACCAGGATAATCAATACATTTAGAGACACACACACACTTCTACATGCACATAAACACATATGCACATATACATACACACATACACACACAGCCACACATATGCACACACACATATACATGTACACACATAAACACATATATACACATAAACACACAAATATACACACATACACACAGATGCATACACAATACACATGCATACACAAGCACACATATACACACAAATACATAAATATACATATACGCATACACATGTGTATGCACATACATACATGTACATACATATACACATGTAGACACATCCACACATAAACACAAATACACACACATATATGCAC